GGCATGCAGAGGGCTGGCTGCAGCCTAGGACACCCAGGCGCAGAGGGAGGGGCTGGGGGCCTCTTCCTGATGCTGGGAGGGTACTTGGCCTCAGGATACCTGGCCCAAGAGGACTGGCCATTCCCAGCCTTTTGGATGACCAGCCTGGGTGCCTGAGACAGTAGCTGTGCCCTGCCAGCTCCAGCCCAGCCTGGTTCCTCCTTCCCACCCACTCATTCACCCACCTCCTGTCCCACATGCCCTGCACTGGGTCTCTACCTCCTCAGACAATGTCCTGTAGGCAGGAAACAGCTCCGATGTGGGGGCTGCCCTCACCCTGACAGCAGGGCCAGCCTGGAGTCTGCTGCAGTAACCTCAGTCCTCTGGTTCAATGCCCATTGTACAGACTGGAAAACTGAGTCCTGGAGAGTGGGGAGACCTTCCCAGTAATTCTCCAACAAGTTGGTGCCTCAGGCAGGCCACCAGGCTCTCAGCTCCAGGCTCTTCTGCCTGTGCGTCCAGGGTGGTCCTGCACGTGACCCTATCTCCTAAAATGCCTGGGTCCTGCCCCAGTCACACCCTCTACTCAGGCTGCCCTCGCCAGTTTGGGCAGAACTCATTGCTATGTGGTAGTTACCATTTATTAAGCGCCTATCGTATGCCAGTCACTTGATATCATGCAATCCTCCCAATGGCCCACCATGTAGGTGGTAATGTTAGCCTATTGTGTAGATGAGTAAGCTGAGGCTCAGAGGGGTCCAGTAACTTGCCTGTGATCACCGTGTCAGTAACTGACAGGGCCAAGATTAGTACCCAGGTGTGTCCAACTGCCAAGTCCGGACCTTTCTCCTATACCACACCCCTTTCTCTTTCTGTCACACAAAAGGGGCATCAAACTGGAGACCCAGGAATCTGTCCCCCAAACCAGATGTTCAGGCACCCACCTGGCTCCCATGAGACCAGGTAGGGGTCGGCTTTAGCAGCCAGGGGGGCCTCAGCTGCTGCCTTCCCTTCAGCATTGGAGGTCCATGAACCCAGTCTCCAGGGTTCAGCTCTGCCATTGACTTGCTGTGTGACCATGGCCTCGTCCATTGCCCCCTCTGGTTATGCCTCTGTCTTCCCCTCTCAACCTGCAGGAGTTGGGCTCCTGACTCCCAGAGGGCTATGCCAGCCCGAGTGCCTGCAATTCCTTGGCTGAAGGGAGATGTCTTATGCCCTCTGGGTAGAAGCATTGCCAAGCTAAGGGTTTGGCATGCCATCTTTGCCTGCTCTGTTTGAGGGTGACTGTCTTATTCCAACAGGGAACCACCCCCAGAGTGGCCCACTCCAAACCCCAGTGACTCACTTACAGAGTGAGGGGCAAGCGGGCGGGAGCTGTCTCTGTGGCTCTTGGCGTCTGATGGAGCCCACGGGCCCACGAGCCCATGCCGGGCGGGGACTGGTGTCAACCACTGGCTCCTATAAATCGCAGGGCTAGGACAAGGTGGGACCGCCAGCAGCCCTCGAGAGAAAGCTCAGCCTGTGTGCTCTGGGGAGGTGACCCGGGGGGACCCTGGGCCTCTCCTCGGGGGCGGGCGTTAATGAGCGCTCCATCTGGTGCCATCCTCAACCACGAGCTGACGCTGACACAGCATCTCAGAGAGGAGAGAGTGCGCGTGTGTGTTCCAAGGCTAGCAAAGGCTCAGTTTTTCCGATTCGGAAAAATCCGTTCAAAGGAGGGAAAATCGGGGATGAGGAGCCGAAGATTGCCTGATTAATGTGGTCTTAGTCTGTGACTTGAAGGGTTCACAGAAGACCATCTCCCTTGATGTCTCACTGGGGAGACCCAGGCTCAAAGAAGGCTGGGCTCCGAGGGGAGGGCCATGGCAGGGCCAGAAGAGCGATGTGACCTTTCACTGCCCAGCCCAGAGCTCTGACCGGTTTGCCATCCTGCCTCCCTCAGGCAGGGCCAGCTCTGCCTTTGGCCCGACTGGAACACGCACCCCGATTCTCTGGCCTCGGTTTGGATTCAGGACTGTCACTTCTCTGAGAAGATACATTTACTAGGAGGTACCCCCTGCAGAGGACCCAGAGCCCCGCCTTCAGAGGATTTACCATCCTCTTTAGGAGACAGGAAGGAGTTTAGAAGGGAAACCAGAAACATAGTAATAACTGATGCTTAGTTGGTACTTCTGCACCAGGCACGGTTCTGTTCTATGGGCTTTTCACATATTAACCCATGTAGTTATCATGACAACCTATAAAATACTGTCATCCCTGTTTTACAGAGGAGGAAACTGAGGTCGTCAGAGGCTAATTAACTTCCCCCGAATCACGTAGCTAGGAAATTGTGTAGAAAGGCAGCCTGGTGTTTGAGCCCATAACTTTGTATGGCAAGTGTGAGCACCTCCTCTGTGCAAGGCGCCATCCTCAGTGTTGGGGGCCCTGTGGTAGAAAGAATAGACAAGGAGGCTGCCCTCAAGAAACTTGTCATTCTTTCTTCATCCACTCACCCACCCACCCATCCATCCACCCATCCATCCATCATCCATCCGTGTCTGGTTTTATTTGCTTTTGTATCCCCCGTGCTCAACGTAGTGCCTGGCACTAACAAGCTGTGAACCAGTATTTGCTGAAGAAATGAAGAGATGGGGAGAGATGTGGGCCCAGTCCAAAAACTCTGGGTCTGAGTCCCTTACCCTCTCCCAGTCTCTATGCATTGGGTGGTAAACACTGCCCTGCTCACCTCACAGGTTTCTTGGGAGGTTCTGATGGTGAGGAGGCAAGTGCTTTGCAAACTGTAAAGGGCTGTGAAGACATAGTCAGCACTGGGCTGCCCAGCTGCTGTGTAGGCGCCGAGGCCTGCAGAGCTGTGTCTCTCTCAGGTCTGGCTGGTGAGACCTGTCAGACACTTCCCCTCGGCCTGCCAAGAGGCCCAGAAAGGAAAGGAAATTGACATTTAATGAGCATCCACGATGTGCCAGGACCTTCACACGCTTTAACCCTCTCTTCTCTTGTACGGATCAAAGAATGGAAGCCCAGAGAGGTCCATCTATTGCCCAAGGTCACACAGCCAGTGAGGAGCAGAGTCCAGGGGGACCCTGGTCTGTGAGTCCCAAAGCCTATGGTTGTGACAACACCCCCTACCACCTCCCCGTAAAGGGATGCTGCCGACTTCCTGCTTTCCAAGTCTCCAAGTCCCCAGTGTTCAAGGTTACACAGCAAGCTCCTTCCTGGCAAAGCCTTTCAGAAAGTGTTTCCATTTAGTTTTTGCATTGATTATTTCCTTTTTGCTTTATAGGAATTTCCCCCCTTTTATTTGCGAAAAAAAAGCCAACGTAAATGTTCTCCCCACACACAGGTTAACCCTTGTCTGTCAGAGAGGGATGTGAGCAGCTATTTGGGGAGGAGACGGAAGGTCAGCTGCTGGCCACAGCTCCTGCAGGGCCTCTTCGCAGACCCTCACCATAGTTCACACGCCAGTGTGGCCGTGCTGTCTGCTGTCCGATCACCAGCTTCTGTGACCCTCAGCACAAGGCAGCCTTCTGTGACCCAAGTGGAACCACCCCCCGAAGCTTAGAGCCCAGGCCTCCTGGAGACACCACCTTGTGCCACAGGCTGGGACAGAAAAAGAAACGCCCGTAGCCACTGTTCCTGGGCCACCCACCGAGAGCCTGGCACCGCGCTGGGCACCTCACCAACATCCTCTGACTGCCTCTTCTAAGTGGGAGGGGCAGGTCTTGGTGACCCCATTTTACAATGGAAAGAAAAGCTGAGGCTCAGAGAGGCAAACTCACCTGCCCAAGGCCCCCCAGCTGGCCAGGGGCAAACTGAGGATAAGACAGGACCCTTGCTTTAAGCCCAGGGCTAAAAATAAGACATGGTGCATGTGAAGTGACCAAGCCACGCCCCTGGGCCAGGCACCACCCTCAGTCCTGGGGACCTGGCCCAACAGGAAACTGGTGGAAGCAAGGCCCCATTCTGCTAAAGACTTGCTGAGTGACCTTGAGTTGGTTACTCTCCTTCTCTGAGCCCAGAATTTGCCCCATGGGAAGTGAGTGGGTTGAATGTCTCAGTCGTTTATGCTCTTTCTCAGGTCTTGTTTGGGTAACAATTCGCAAAGTAGAACACGGTAGGTGAGAAATGATGGCCGAGGTTTGTGGAGCAGCAGCACATGATTGAGAGTTACTAAAAAGCCCTCATCCTGCCACCTAGAGCCTCCATTACCAAGACCCCACGAGGCAAGATTCCTGGAGGCGCTCAGGTTGAAATGCCCCTGCAGCCTTGCCCCACTGCTGACCCGCACCACCACCACCGAGTAGAGTTGCAAGCCGTGGGCCAGACACCACAGGGAGGAAGGGACGGCACCAGGCCTTCTGCACGGTGTCTACGCCAGCGTGCAGGCCTCTCTGGGCCCACCTCTTCGGCGGCCCCCTCCCCCGGCCCTGTCCCTGGCAGCCCCTCACCAGGACCCAGCGCCCAGCGCCCCCAGCCCCAGCCGAGGTTCCTCTGTATTTGGCTCCAGCGCCAGCAGGCCGGCCATTTAAGGCTCCACCTCACCCCTTTAAATTCTATTTTTTCAAACCACATTCTTGAACTTGGCAGATAACGTGGCAGCCCGACAAGAGCCCTATTTACCCGGAGAGCCGTGAATGGGCCCTTTATAACAAGCTTCATTAATATTTCTACCTATTGGCCAGCTCGCCGTTTCCTCCCCCTATACAAACAGATTCTCCACACAGAAAGACTTTTCAAATGCTCTTGTTGACTTTCCCCAAACAGGGAGAGCAGCCGGGCCGGGCCGGGCCGGCCGGGCTGG